TATAGTCACCTTAAAAGGTTTACCAGTTTACCTTGCTTGTTTACCTGGGACACACTGTTGTCTCAAGACAGGGACTTAGCAAAGCATTTCAACATGCAGTTAAGAGATCTTCCAGAGGTGGGGGTTCCCATATTTGGTGCCTGGCATTCTTGCTCTTTGCAGCAACAAGAGGAAGAATTAATCATTCACTGTACCCTGTCACTGTTCAGGAAAAAAACTATCAAGTTAGTATTAAAAAAATTAATTTTATCTCCTTGGATGTTTAAAGTGTTGTGAAAACAAACATATTCATCTTGCTCTTTCATATGGAGACTTGGAGACTACAGCACAGTGTCATTTAAAAGCTTCCCAAATTGTACACATTGAAATCAAATAATGACTTACATGTCATGTCTGCTTACAGCAGAAGTCAGATACATTACTGAAGCTGCTTGTGGTATTTCACAATTCAGTTACAATAATCAGACATAATCGTAACACCTACTATGACCTGAATAGCAAAATTTAAAGGAACCAAGTGGTCCTAGTTTTCTACAATCACATGACATGACATCTGTTTTGGTAAAAAGTTGAAGATGCCTATCTAAATCTACAGTACTGGTTTTTGGCATACTATTAAGGTCAGAGAAAGCCTCATTTCACATAAAGAATGACACACAGACATGAAAGTGCTGAAGTTTATAAGACTGAATCTGCATATCATGTATGATAATAATTTCTAAGAGTAGATATTGTGTGATCAAATATGCCCAGAAATTCCCAAAGTAATGAGTGCTTTTTGTATGTTTCTAGCCAAGCTACAACATAATGAAGAGGCTTCCATTAACTTGGTCTACTAGTCTTCTAATTTTGCCATGTAAGGGAAGTTACCAAAATTAACAAAAGTGCAAAAACCTTAATAAAACAGTGGAGAAATGTTCAAGGGCATATTTAGCTCAGTCACTAAAGAAGATTGTGCTTTCTGGACTAAGAACAGCTACAATAAGTTCAAGCTCTGAAGCACTACCTAGCTGTAGTTTTTAGAGGCCAGAGAAAAGCACAGGAGGAAACAATGCACACCTGGCCCTGTTCTCACCCGTCCTCTCCCACCGAGATGCAGCACTGTAACACAGCAGAAGGGCCTGCCTCACTTGACAGAATTCTGAATTTTCTTTGGTTTAAATGCATCAACACACTTCAAGTGTTCTGAGTATTTTTAGACTTTGTTGGACTAAAATTTTCATAAACACAGTCGATGACTCTAAACAGACCATATTCTGATTGCCGAGAATTTAGCCTCATTGGGCCCTGTTTCCACCACACAGAGGTACCTCATCACTCTCTCTCTTCATCTAAGGAGCCTTAATGTAGCTGAAGACTTATGTCAAAACCCGACAGGGAGTCAGTCCAAATAAGACCATTATATTGTTTCCAGTATGTAGTTATTCATTTCAATAACATCTTTCTACTCCTAGCTCCAGGACTCAATGTATAAATAGTACCTGAATTTGAATGCTTGGCTGTTCCCACCACAAACTGAAGCTTGAAATACGGGGTTTGCCTCCTACAGGTTTACTGTAAGGATTGATTGCAACAGAAGGAAAGTGTGAACAAAAATAGTACTTCATATAACCACTCGCACCATTTATGGTACTCCCGCCTAAGAGACTCATGGCATTCTGAAGACACAGAATGAGATCATTTGAGATCTGATCCCAGCATCTATTTTGTATCTCTACTGGACAAGTCCATTAATCAAAGTGACCATAAAATAGCTGTTAATGTTGCTTGTAGAGCACTGTTTGATACTGTCACCACACTGAATTCTTTCTTCATAGGTGTTGATGTATTATGTCAAGAATCTTTTGTAAAGCTTCGCAAAGTTACCCATTCCTAGTGGGTAACATACTACTATATAAAATTGGAGTCATCCTGGCAGCCTCTGAGCAGCACACATTTTGGATTTTCCACTGGTTTACTTTTGTCTGTCAGATACTGACAGGAGACAGGTCAAGTAGAACACAAAGTTAGGGGCTTCTATCACGTCGTGCTATGATGCCTTGCTACAAGGAAAAAATTATTCTTCCTTACAGGGACATGCAACGTATCTCCAAAGCTTACCACATGGTTTCACATCAATTCTCTTATCTACAGTGTTACTTCACCTAAAAGAATGTCTCATCATACATTAAACATTAATAAAACTGCCAAGAGAACTGATGAAAGGTGAAATAAAAAGAGCATACCAGTAGTCTATTACTTAAATGGACAACAACTTTGTATCTTTTAAAGATGTGCACATACCTTCTAGAAAGGAATTACATTTCAAGAGGAAATACTAGTAGCACAAACACTAATTTATACCCTGAAGATAATGACTTGGGATGAACCAACTGACTTAGCAGTGAAACATAGTAACACTCACATGGCCCCTTACCAGGAGTTAGCCAGGAAGCAGCTATGTCCCCCAGAAGTTTAATGCTCTGTGTACATGGATTTCACCCCATACAATGGAAGCCAGTCCTGCAAGCATATTTTTCGAAACCTAACCCACACCTGCACCTAGAACACAACAGTGCAAGGCCTGAGATCCCAACCCAGCTGTGATGCACCAAAGCCTGCTCTGCTTTAGGATACCCCAAGGTCTGCTCACCCCTTAGTGCCGCTATGTTGGCAGGGCTCAGCAGTTCAGTAGCTGCCACATTGTGTAACGTTTCCACATCTCATTTCCTTACTCATTAGTTATTAGTAATTATAAGACTACTTCCGCCTCTCCAAATACAAAATACAATGACTCAATATCTGACTTCATGAATAAAACACCTTTTTACCAAATAGTAAAAAGACATTTTACTCAATTCAACATCACTTTAGAGCTTGAAGCAAATGGGAGAAGGCAGCTTTAAGCTGCAATAAAGTACAGGAAGCAGATTAGCTACGTAAAGACAGGAAAAAGCTGGAGGCAAATCTTACTGAGGCTCTCTTATCACAACAAGTTTAGTTATTAACAGATATATATAGATATATATATATATATATACTATATATATACTATAAAATACATAAACTCTAGAATATATATAAAATCTAGTTTCTAGTTCAAACTGTGCCACCATTAAGTTTAAAATAGTGGGTATATAGAAGTTCCAGTGCACTCCAACAATTCTTCCACCTCTCAAATGTGCAACATGACTCATGGTTTATTTTGTTTACTCTGTGTTTCTTAAGCAACTAAAAGAAGCCAGTTCCTGCTCTCCATTACATCCAGGTAAGTCTAGCTTATCTCTATTGATTTCACTGATTTCACTTCCAGTTTATCCTGTAGCAAATGAGAAGTCTGACAGATACTCAGATGTACAGTATTAATGAAAGGCATTACACACGGATCTTGAGATAGAACTTGGAATTTCATTTCTAAGTTGCTCAAAACTTCAGAAGCACGCCACTTGGGTCTCAGGGTTTTCAGTGAATTGTGTGGGAAGACCACCCTTGCTAAACACCAGAAAATTAACTGGTCAGCTGTTCCCCTGTTGTTCAATGGAAGTAAAAACCCAAATTGTTACAGTCAAACTGGTACAACAGGTTTTCAACAATCTGTATATAATGTGTGACTGAAGTTTGAAACTAGCATGCTCTTAATACAGATAACTCTCATGGATAAGCAAACATGCCAAACCATCCCTCCCTTAGATACCCAAAACTGAGAACACAAAATGTACTTATTTTAAAGATTATTTTGATCAGAAACAATATTAAAGTGAAGGAATGCTTTCATTTCTACTCTCAGATAAGCATCATTCAACTCAAGAGGCCTGCTTGATACTTCTCCCTTAAGTATATAAGACAGAGAATTAAATATACCAAAAAGAGGTAAAATAGAGACCAAATAACGAGACCATGGGAAAGAACTGGCAGTGTCCCACAATTAGTAGAAGGTCACTGAAATTTAATTATTGACCCAACATATGTCATAACACTGCAGTCAAAATTTAGGTTCACTTTCCTGAACCTCTTTCAGAAAGTATGCAACAGCTAGTACAGGCAGTAGAATGCCATCTAACCATTCTTTATACTGAAACAAAGAACAGGACTGTTATGGTAATAGCTCCAGCACAGATCTCAGCCGTAGATGTTCAGCCTAACTAAACCTATGTGTGCCTTTTCAGCACAGACTTGCATTACCACAGAAATACTCAGGCCTACAGATTTGCGCATTAAGCGATTTTATATTCTGATCCCTGAGGATTACTGAGAACAACTAAGAAAGAGAAGTTTCTTTTCCAGGTACGGGTCAGATTTACTAGAGCAACTCAGCATTGCACTGGAATGCTTGATGTTTCAACTTTTATTGATTTGTGAGGTCACAACACTGGTAACTGAGGACAAAGAAATCTGTCAGTCCAACCCAATCACTGCAGAATCCACAGCACTGAGCACATGCCGGTTTGGGGTTTGATGGCCACTGTTGTAAGTGTGCATTTTTAAACAGAAGGGCCTTGGCACTGGGCACAGCCCATGCCAAGAAGAATCATTTCCATGTCCGTGTGTTCATAGAGACTGAGCTTCAATAACCAGTTCTGGATATTGCAACCTACTGTTACACTGATTTACTTACCTGCTGCCCAAAGCAAAGTTTATTTTGTTCGGATCTAGATTATGCAAAGGTGGAGTGACAGACAAAAACTGTAAATTGCCATCCAGTATGATAAAGGAAGTAAAAAGTCGACACATGATGAATAAACTCGGCCGTGCCCACTTGGCAACGGAACGGCCGACAGCCGCACTGTTCACAGCGTTCGCACTCGGGAACCTTCATTTACAGCCCTGGGGCAGACACGGCGTCACCGGGGAGGAGCAAGGCAGGCTCGGGGCCGGCCAGGAGCGGCCCAAAGCCCGCGGACGCGGCTCCCGGGTCTGGAGCAGCCCTCGAC